GATGGATGGACGGATGGATGGACAGAGAGATGAATGGATGGATGGATGGATGGACGGATGGATGGACAGAGAGATGAATGGATGGATGGATGGATGGACGGATGGATGGACAGAGAGATGAATGGATGGATGGATGGACGGATAGATAGATATAGATAGTGATAGATAATGATATACTGATGGATGGATGGGTAGATATAGATAAATACGCATACAAGCACATACATCATACATATACACACACACATGCTATACATGTGTAAATGGAGAAGTCACATTCATTTTACAATTGTGTTACTAACTTAAGAACTATGGTGATTTAACAACTGTGACAACTGACAAGAAAGGTTTCAAAATGGGGCAAAACCCGCTTAACAACTGTCTCGCTTAACAATAGAAACGTTGGGCTCAGCTGTGGCCGTATGTCAAGGATTAACTGTACTTGTAGAAGCTGAGAAAATATGGCAACTTTTAAGACTTGTGGACTTCAACTCCCACAATTCCTCAGCCCGAATTCTGGGAGTTGAAATCCACAAGCCTTAAAAGTTGTCAAGTTGGGAGTCCCCCCGTTCTAGCTCAGCCCTCTCCCCCCCCCCCCGTTCAAGCAGGAGACCCCATGGATGGAGGCAACCTAACAATGCTTCTCCTCTTCCTGCCACGGAGAACCACCAGCCTTACCTGGTCCGTCACATCGTAGACAATGATGATGCCGTGCGCGCCTCGGTAGTAGCTGGAGGTGATGGTTCGGAAGCGCTCTTGGCCAGCCGTGTCCCACTGCGGAGAAAAGAACGGTGAAGGGACCCTGGGCAGTGGAATCGAACTGGGGGAAGCTCCCTCGGCAAAGGAGACCCCCAGGTCCCATCTGCAAGTGTCAGCCGTGCCTCCATCAATAACCGATCACGTGGATCACGTGACACTGTGACCGTCGTAAGTATGAGTTAGTTGCCAAGTGCCTGAATTTTGATCACGGGGATGCTGCAACCGTCGTAAGTGTGGAAACCTACCATGTCACTTTTTAAATTGCGGTTGTAACTTTGAATAGTGACCACGCACAAAGTTGTAAGTCAAGGATTGTATTAAAAAGACGTATAGGAAAATGTAACAAGAAATGAAAAATAAAGTAGAAGACTAAGAAAGACGGGGGAAAAAAACAGGAGAAAAAGACCAATATTGACCATTCTTTTGTTGCAACGAGGAATGTTTAGAATGGGCTTCTAGCAGGAGTATTTTATACATTTTTGGCCTTGGCGTAGGATGCCTTGGAAATGCATGAAGTAGTAAATATTCCAAAGTCTTATTTTGGGCATTTTATAGAATTCCTACGCATTGATAAAAGTGCCAAATTTCACACGTGAAATTTCAACAACAATCACATATATAACAGCCATCTTGATTAATTGGTTTCCCATCCCAGGAGTAACTCCTGAGTAACAACTACAGTTTTCCAAGTGAAGGGCAAGAAGAACCAACTCTAGTTCTGTTCTCTGCCTAGTTATGCAGAAGTTACGCCAGGCCTCTCAAGAAGGTTTGGGGGGGACGGGACAGCAGAAGACCTGCTTCTCAACCTCTCTTCTAACCCCCCTGGAGATACTCACAATTTGCAACTTGATGGTCCTTCCTTCCAGCTCGATGGTCCGGATTTTGAAGTCCACTCCGATGGTGCTAATGTAGCTGTCCGTGTAGGTGTCATCCTGGGGAAGGAAAAGGACCATCGGGGGTCTAAAAGCGTAGATGTTCTTCTAAGAACTCTCCCAAGGCTTGAGGGTTGGTGGGCTCCATAAGTTCTTGAAATCGGGGAGCCCTTGAAACCCCCTCTTAGAAACTGGTACGAGGAGCGTGAATGGGGAATTCTCAACCCTCCAGATCATGGGTGTCCCAAAAGTATATTTCCCCCCCCCAAAAAACTGGACTTTCTTGGTTTTTTTCCTCGAGGACGTTTCACTTCTTATCCTCGTGAGCTTCTTCATGAAGTTCAGAACCTGAAGAAGCTTCTTGGATCAAGGGAAAAGCCCAGTTGCTTCTTGAGCATCTGGGATTTGGTTGGAGGTCAGGGATGGTCCTCAAAGGGGGACATCCTCTGGATCAGTGTTTCTCAACCTTGTCAACTTGGGAGATGTCCGGACTTCAACTCCCAGAATTCCCCAGCCAGCGAATGCTGGCTGGGGAATTCTGGGAGTTGAAGTCCG